TATATATATATATATATTTATTTATTTATTTATCATCTGATAGTTACATATTTAAAAATAAATTGCCCATTGAAAGAGACAATGAAACTATAATTTATCTTACCAAAAACCAGCTATCTAGATTTTCCAATCAGCAGGGAAGAACAGAAGACATACAGGACAGTATGTGCCAGTGGAAATTAAAATCAGACATGTGGAGAGCAGAGGAAAGAGGTCAAAAAAACTACATGTATTCATTGTTTGAATGTAATTACTCTCAGCTCTATCTTCCTTCAAAACTTATTACCTTTGTTTAGGAAAAAAAAGAAAGAGAACAAAGAAAGGAAGATGATGGCTTTTGAACAGATGTGGAAAAGAGGTCTTAACTCAAGTCTTCTTGATAATGTTAGTCAAGGTTTCTTTCTCTGAAAACATCGTAATTTAGTTTTAAATTGTCCATTTTGCAGCCTCTCTTTGTGCAGGTTGTCACCCCAGTCAAAGCTGCCCAAATATACTATTTTATTTGATGAAACAAGCAGCGAAAGATAAATATTGTGAAATATTACTACAATGAAAAAAAACTGTTTTCTATTTTAATATATTGTAAACTATAATTTATTCCTGTGATGACAAAGCTGTGTTTTCAGCAGCCATTCCAGTCTTCAGTGTCACATGATCATTCAGAAATCATTCTAATATGCGGATTTGCTGCTCAAGTGTGATACGTTAAGACCAATATGATTTCAGAATGTCTTATTTCTTAGCTTGGCTGTATGAAAACAAAAAGCATCACAAGTTCTGCTGTCCATGATATGACTCGTTTAAATAAATTAGACCCTGCATGGAAAGCAATAATGTAGGCTGGACTGTACAGTACCAGTACAGTGGTAAAGATCTGAAAAGAGCTGTGGAATTGCAAAGAATTCGAATAAATGTATAACTATGCTATATGACTGTGGAAATTCATTTTACTACAGTGGCATTTCATATTCATACAGATTTAAATAATACATTTATGCTGTAGAGTTCAACTGTGGGTAAGTGTGTGTGCGTGTGTATGTTCTTGCCTCTATCCAGTCCAGTAATCTGATTCTTCAGTGTTTCTCTCTGATTCTCCACCTCCACTTTCTGTTCCTCCATCTGTCTGAGTCTCCTCTGCACTCCTTCTCTCATTTTGGTAAGTTTAGTGATCTCCTGTTTCAGCTGGGTTACTTCCTCTTCTTTCATCTGAGCCACACAGGACATGAGCCATTAGTGTGTGTACATGTGAAGCCCAAACTAGTCATCACTAGTTAAAAGCAAC